CTTACACATCTTTTCCTGCTCCTCCATTTCCTTTCCTCCTCCTCCGCACCCTCCCCCCCCCCCATCAGCTCAATACTTCAATATCATATAATTATTTCCTCATTCTCTCTCTCTCTTCTCCTCTCATGAGCTCTCCATTAACATACACACGTACATACATACATGCGTACGTACATACATACAAAAATTATTTATATACATATATACATATTATATATACATACATACATAAATATACATATACATACATAATTATATATATACATACATAATTATACATATACATACATATTTATACATATACATTCATATATAATCATATATATACATACACGCATATTCATATATATACATACACACATACATGAAAACACAACACACAACACACACACACACACACACACACACACACACACACACACCACACACACACCACACACACACACACACACACACACACCACACACACACACACACACACACACACACACACACACACACACACACACACAACCACACGAAACGAAGGACTATCTTCCAAAATACCCACCCCACACACGTACACACACGCGCACATACGCACACACATACGCACACACGTACACGCACACGTACAAGGTCAAAGCCGAAGATCGAATGTAGGTCACGAACTAACTCTGAGGGGTAGGGGGGTAGGGGGTGGAAGGGGAAGGGGAAGGGGAAGAGGGGGGGGGGGTTAGAAAGGGGAATAAGGGCAAGGCAAGACAGAGAGTTATGCCACATGGGTTACTTATGCCCATCTTACATTCAAGGCCACCTCAAAGACGGGGAAGGGAAGGGGAGGGGAGAGAGGGGGGTAAAGGAGGAGAGAAGAGGGAGCGAGGAGGGGGGGGGGGGGGAGGAGGCGAGAGGAGGGAGGGAGGGGGAAGAGGAGGAGAGAGTAGGGAGAGGGAGGAAGGAGGAGGGAGGGGAGGGAGAGAGAGAGAGGGGGGGTAGAAAGGAGAGGAAGAAGGAGGAAGAGGGAGGGGAGAGGGGAGGGTAAATTTTAATGAAGTTCTGAAGCGACTGGTTTGCTAGTCAGCTTTGGGGGGGGGGGGGGGTCGCGAGGAGCGGAAGGGAGGGAGGGAAGGAGGGAAGGAAGGGAGAGAGGGAGGAGGGAGGGAGGGAAGGAGGGAGGAAGGACGAGAGAGAGAGGGAAGAGAGAGAGGGAGAGGGAAGGGGAGAGAGAGGAGAGAGAGGAGAGAGAGGAAGGAGAGAGAGAGGAAGGGAGGGAAGAGAAGGAGGGGGAGGGGAGGGGGAGGTAAAGAGACGGCATAATTATGCTGTGATTGTGTTTGATACGAGGCAAAAATTAATGACAGGGTTGATTCGATATGCAGATGGGGACGGCAGGGGGAGAGGGAGAAGGGGGGGGAAGAGAGGAGGAGAAAAAGGACAGAGAGGGAGGGAGGGAGGGAGGGGAGGAGGGGGAGGGAGAGAGGGAGAGGGAAAGGGAGAGGGGAAGGGAGGAGGGAGGGAGGGGAGGGAGAGGAGAGGGAAAGGGAGAGGAGGAGGGAAAGGGAGAGGAGGAGGGAGGGAGGAAGGGAGGAAAGGGAGAGGAGGAGGGAGGAGAGGGAGAGGGAGAGAGAGAACGAAAGAGAGAACGAGAGAACGAGAGAACGAGAGAACGAGAGAGAGAAAAAGAAAGAGAAAGAAAGCGAAAGACAGAGAAAGAAAGGAGGAAAGAGAAAGAAAGAGAGAGAGAGAAAACGAGAAAGAACGAGAAAGAGCGAGACCCAACGAGAGTTGATAAACATTAAACCTCCACAGATCCACTCCAAGTCACTTAGCTTCACTCTACACCTCCCTTGCACCGGAAATACACCCTTAGGAGCCGCTAAAATAATTTCCTTGTTGCCAGATATTCAGGTCAGATAAGAATCATAAACTAAACAAACACGAAAAAACAAAAAACAAAGACCAAAAAAAAACGCTTATTCGGACCACGGCGATTAAGACGGCTTATTCGCACAACCGTCACTGCTGCCAATATCAACAAATAATTAAAAGTCATTGTGATTTGCTACGCTGATTCATACAAATAAATTCCTTTATATTCATCATACATCTTTATACACAATCCCGCGTATACAGAAACATATATAGAGACACAAATAGACACATATTAGACGGTTTATTAAATGTCTTTCTTGTTAACGTCTCGAAAAAATGGCGGTTAAATTCTACGGGATTCAAACGCCCATTTTCAATTACGAAAATTATACTGGGCGGTTTACTTGTCAAAGTTAACGATTTTACATGATTTATAATAATGGAGATAATATACCATAAATCCTGCTAGACAACATGAATAGATTTGCACGGTAAAATAATAATTTAGTAAAATGTGGAAAAAACAAAATTTATGCTTGACTTGAATATATAGACTAATGAAAAATAATTCTTTTCAGAGGAGAAAAAAAAAATTCTACCGAAGTCAAAGCCAACAGGACGCATTGGGACGCAGCCATTTTCACTACCATGTCGGAACGAAAGTAAAAAACACCAATTAAAGAAAATACAACGTACATTTTCGTATTTTCTTTCCTTTTTCCTTCTTAAAGGGTCGTTCAGAATATTACTAACCGAACTAGGGCTCAGAATACCCAACAACATCAAATATCCAAAGAAAAATAGATTTGGTTTAGTCTGACCTCGAAAAAAAAAAAAATGGCGGCACACGTTCTGGAAGATATTACAGGAAATAAACACGATTCTTGCCTTACCGGAAAGTCTTTCAATCTCCTGACTTTATTCTGTGCCTTTAAAAAGTTTATTTCATCACTGATGTTATTGTTTCTACTTAATTACAAATTATGAATTCAATTTGTGATTGCAATAAAACAACAACAAAAGACAATCATTAAAAAAAAACCTCCAACAACAAGTAATAATAATAGATAATAATAATAATAACAATAATAATAATAACGACAAAGACAATAACATCAAGACCAATTAACGAAACAAAGCCAAAATCTCCACATCCGAAGCCCCCCCCCTAAAAAAAAAAAAAAAATCCAAAATTCCTTTAGATCAATCCCTCAAAAATTCACAACTTTAAAATCGGAGCCACGGGGTGACTTGACTCATTACCCCCGTCACCCATTAGCAACGTTTATCTCTCTCGCTCCGGCACCCCCAGAATTTGCACACTTTAATTGAAACCGTCTTCCACCCCCCTCCCCCTCCTCCCCACCCCCCTCCCTCAAAAATCCCCTCCCTCCCTTCCCCACCCCCTCCACCTCGAAGGACTCGCAACACGAACGTACTGACAGTGAAGAAATATTGGGAGTTATCCCTCGTATATCTAAGTCCCCCCTGTTTCTTCCCGCTCGGCTTCACCTTTCAACCGGGTTTTAGAAAACGATAAATTTGAGGGGATACCAATCTATTTTACGCGCTGGGACGGAGGGCGTGTGCGACCCAGCGGCTAAGACAGACAGACAGACACAGGTGCACAGCGCGAGAGGGGGGAGAAAATAATTTACCGGGAACACTGCATAATGAAGGGCTTGGAACCTGAGACTTGGTCGGGGGCCGTAAACTCGAGAGCAAAAAAGGGCTTTGTCGACACCTCCTTCTGGGTTTCATCTTGGGAGTTTTGAGATCTTGAAATTAATCATTCTTTAACAATTCTTTCTTCTGTTCTCTGTCCACTCATTCGGTTTTCGTCACGTACTTCCCTTTGCTTAATGTGTCGTCTATTACTTTACCATCACAGAAACAAAACGAAAAGAAAACTACACGGATAAAGGAAGTAAAATGAACACAAGAGATACAATCAACGGCTCTACCATATTGGGAAAAAATAATATCGTTTTTTTTTTCTCTCTCTCGTTCAGATGCAATTCACATTTTACCTTAAACAGTTATCATTGCTAAGGAAATTTATGCTTAGCTTACATATAAAACTTCAATTCCTTCAGAAATTTATCTTAAACAGTTATCATTGCTAAGGAAATTTATGCTTAGCCTTTAGAAAAAAATCAAATTTATCAAATCTTCACCAAATTTAATATATACCACGTATGGTGAGCAATTCATGGAAAAAGAATCATTATGGAATTTCATGAAAAAACACAAAACGAGAAAATAAAATCAACATGACTTTTTTTTTTTTTTTTTTACCGATCGTCTCGACAGTTAAGGCAGCACAGTCGAGACAATTAACTGACAACTTTTTACAACAAATAATCTGGCTTGAGTAAACATTCACCCAAATATATCCCTTCGAAAAAAAAAATATCTTCTACGTCATTTGCACTTCAAAAGCATATACTGGTTATTTCCACTTTAAAAGCATATACTGGTTACCGGTGACAAAGTTTACGTTGCATTTCCCACATCATTTTCTCATCACCTCCCGCAGTTACCATCTAATTATTCTACCAAAGTTCTTTTTAAATGTCTACTGACTTTTGAGACTTTTTAAGAACTCTCCAAGCCTCATTTTTAAATGTCTACTGACTTTTGAGACTTTTAAGAACTCTCCAAGATTTTCTTTTATGTGTAATGACCTTGAGTCCTTCAACAACTCGACCAGGTTCTTAATTAATGTTTACTGACCTCGAGACCACCAAGAAGCGAGACTAATCAATGAATTTAACTCGAACATCAATCTTCAATGTCTTCAATCTCCTTTTCATAACGTCATCACATCAATAACTTTTTATTTTCCTTATAATTCTTGTCCTGCTTGAGTAAAAAAAAATATATAAAAAACATGCCAGTTACGACAGCATCTATAATACCCGTTACAACACCTATGATATTTACCACAACACCTGAAACATCTAACACAATACTTACCGCAACACCAACCTCACCTACAACAACCCCACCTCCCTACACCACCAACACACCCACAGCACCTTCTACAACACCAACCACACCCACACTCCTACAACCCCACACCCTACCACACCTCCCACAACCCCACCCCCACCACACCTCCACCAACACCACCAAACCCCACTGACCTGCTGAATGGCGGCGGCCTTCTCTGCGGTGACCCCATCCACCTCGAGCTTGGCCTTGGTAGCGGCCTTCTTCGACGACTCCTCGTAGGACACGTCGCCGGCCTGGAGCTTGCAGGACTCGGAGGTCTGACCGGAGGCGGACTCAAAGCTGTTCTTGTCTGTCACAACCTGTCGAGGAGGAGGAGGAGGTTGTGGGAGGTTATTTGCGAAGCTTCAATGTGATGTTTATGTTTGTTTGTGTTTAGGTATTATTTTTCTACTTGTTTATCTATTTATCTATCTATCTATGTTTATCTATTTATCTATCTATGTATTTATTTATCTATCTATGTTTATCTATTTATCTATTTATCTATGTATAACTATTTATCTATCTAGCTATGTCTGTCTATTTATCTATCTATCTATCTATCTATCTATCTAATCTATCTATCTATCCTATCTATCTATCTATCTATCTATCTATCTATCTATCTATATATATATATATATATATATATATAATATATATATATAATATTATATATATTTATCTATCTATCTATGTCTATATCTATCTAATATATATATCTATTTTTTTATCTATCTATGTCTATCTATTTATCTACTCATTCATTGATTTTCCATTCAATTATTTCTTTAGCCTCTTGAATACTTGGTTATTAATATCAATATGTCTACATTTATCTATCTATCTACTTGTTTATCTATTTATTTATCTTTTCAATCATCTTTTTTTTAAATTCTATTATTCTTTGGCCTCTTGAATATCTGGTTCTTAATATGTTTAAATTTGTGGTTAAAATGTACAGATATGCTAAATAAGCTTTGTTAATTTATTAATTTATGTTTGAATACTTAAGTTTTTTATTTACTTGTAATTGAAAACTTTTATTTCGACCTACGCTTTAAAAATGAAAACTTAAAGAATTACGAATAAAAATTAAGAAATGATCACCTAAATCCAAGAACTCCAATGTCAAAGATTTACAAAATTTATATATTAAGAAATTCTCATAAAAAAAATCCAAGAATTCCAAATATAATAGAAGAACCCCCCACCCCCCAATAAAAAGGAATAAAAAGGAATTTCAGACTCTTCTCCTCCTCCTCCTCCTATTCCACCTCCACCACCACCACCACCTCCCCTCCTCCTCCATCCTCCTCCTTCTCCTTCTCCTCTCTTCCACTACCACCTCCTCCTACTCCCTACTCCACCTCCTCCACCTCCTCCTCCTCCACCCGACACCACCTTCCGCTTCGAGGACGAGGTCACCTTCTTCTGCTCGAACTTCAATTCCTTGGGGTTGCCGTTGCTGGAGGCCGAGCCCGAGGTCAGCGGCGAGGAGCTCAGCTGGTCCTGCTGTGCCGAGAGCGCGTTCTGGAGGTCGAAGTCGTTCTCGACGTCGGGGAGGGCCAGCTGCTCCGTCGACCCCATCTGGAGGGCGTCGAGGGCGTCCATGGAGCCCATGTTGAACCCAGAAGCCTTCAGTTTGTTGAAGCCCGAGCCAGCCTGCAGAGCCGCGGCCGAGGAGCTCTGCTGCAGGGACGCGTTGCTGGCCAGGGACATGGAGCGGTTGTAGTTCACGCTGTTGCTTTGCTGCAAGGGAAGGGGCCGGTCAGAAGGGGGCTTTCCTTAATGATTCGTAATCAATTTTTATCATTGAGAAGATTATATATCTATCTATCCATCTCTTTCTCTTTTTCATCATTGAGAAGA